TCGTGAGTTCTCAGAACCTGCTCTTTGAGCAAAAAAGAACGACAACATCACGGAACGTAAGTTTTTAGAAAGATCACGGCTCTCCAACGGGAGATTGAGAGACCAGTGTTGGACTGTTAGAACAGCTTTGAAATTCATATGAGCTGTTCGAACTAAAGTAAAAACCATCATCAATTCGGCGCCAGCTGCGGCCTCAAGGCTGGAGCTGAACAAACAACTCCCTGATAACGACTGTGTTTAGACTGTTCCCCCCATTCCATGCAAGGCCACCTGGGTTGGCTGGAAGACTGTTTACTTAGCCTGGCAGGGCGAAGGACACTGTCTCAGCTGAACTCTGGACTCCCACACGCACACATACACTGATATGCACACACTGATCCCCCCCTCCCTTTCCAAACGCCTTCGATGCTTGTCCCCTCCCGGGGAAGATGGCAGTTGACTGGACCAGCGCAGACATGCTGCAGGACCAGATGCGCTGTCTACACCGGCTCTCTCTTACCCTTTACCCACCCCTGTTGCTCGTCTTGTGTTTCTATGGTGTATTGATAGTCATGTGCTTTTTGTGCTGAGGTGTTTTTTCTGTTATCAAACTGTTCTCCCACTAGGAGCTCAGTCTGAGTGGAGATTTTTTTCTCCTCCTTTTACCTCATGTTATGTATTTTTGTTGTTTTTTTCCTATCAGCCTACCTTTCTGACATGTCTCCCCAATGTGATGTTTGTGTAAAGTTGGTCAGAAGGTTCCTTTGTAAGTGCGCATGCGCCATTAGCGTGCTGCCTGCTGTAACCCTAATTTCCTTCGGGATTAATTAAGTATCCTGATTCTGATTGTGCAAGGCCATGAAACCAATCATGATTTAATTAACATAGGAAAAAAACACTTCTTTCAACAGCATACTGAGGGGAGTGAGTTCACTCTTTGCCATTCTGATGGGACCAGGTGGAGTAAGGAGGACTTGCACAAGGAATACACAACTGTTTCTGATATTACACTGTGGCAGCAAGGACGGACCACACTTCAACACTTTTCAGCATCTTTATGACAGTTGCTTGTTTAGACGACTCCTGGCTGCAGCTTTTCAGCTCACAGATATTCGTACACATGGCTTCATCTTAAGCTGAACCCTCAATGCAGCTTTCCAACGTGGCTGACACTCTTGTAGTCATAGTACTCTCTTGTAGTCACTTGTCAGTCCACGACACAAGTTTGTCCACTTAAAACATCGCTCTTTCAGATATTTTTTGATGAACTGCCAAAGAGCCAATTTTACCCCCCAGTACAGAAGACTCTGCATGTGGATCTGATCCAGCACATGTCAGGAGAGCGCACAAATGATTGTGAAGAAGCTACGGACATTTGATAGCAGGTCTTAGATAATCGTGAGTTATGTGTCTGATGGTGAAAAGCACAAAGATTTTGGAAGAGCCATACAGGCACTGTGGAAACAGTAAAGATGTGTATGTTCTCCAAAACTGTTTTGTGAGATCTTTTTTATTTCTTGTTTTTTTAAAATGTGACACATTTAATGTGATCTTCAAAGAACATTATTTTAATAAAACTTTTATTCCTAATCTTTGAAAGTATCTCAGATTTTGTCAAATCGATTTTTATGAATAAAGTGATATCAATTCATTAAATCCTGGATCCATTTTTTAAAATAAATGCATTTTGCCAGGAATACCAGAATCTCATATCAGAACCTCACAAAACTATTTCAGCAACCACCAAACAGCTAACACATAAATAGAATAGAATAGAATAGAATAGAATTCAACTTTATTGTCATTGCACATGCACAGGTACAGGGCAACGAAATGCAGTTTGCATCCATCCAGAAGTGCTTTAGTGATATAGATATATTACAATATATATTAGCAATAATATAGATATGTGAGTATATTACAGAAATGGGTCTATTATGGTATGTTATAATGTACACGGTATGAAGTATGTTGTGAATATTCTATAACTATAAGTATGTACAGGCTGTAGTGAGTACAAGCTATGTACAGGATATGAACAGGATATAAATATGAAAAACTATACAGAATATGAAATAAATAACTTTACAGAATCTGGGATATACAGCTATACAGAAATGGGAACTATGCAAGTTGTAAACAGTTGTAGGATTAAAGATTATCGAATGTACAGAATGATTATTTACACAGAGCTATACAGTAGTGCAGTTAAGATAAGTGAGGGTGTAGATAGTTTCTACAGAGGCTATATAAAGTGCTAGTGGTTGTGAGTGGTGGTTCAGTCCATGTTATTATTGTGTTTGAGGGTACAGTTGTCCATTGTGGGTGTGTGTATGTTCAGTCCATGAGTTTAACGTGGGTCAGATGTCAGGAGGCAGAGTTCAGGAGTCTGACAGCTGTGGGGAAGAAGCTGTTCCGGTACCTGGTGGTCTTAGTCCGGAGGCTCCTGTGGCGCCTCCCAGAGGGCAGGAGGGTGAAGAGTCCATGTGATGGGTGACTGGGGTCTTTGATGATTTTCCCAGCCCTTTTCAGACACCGCTTCCTGTAGATGTCTTTTATGGCAGGAAGTGGTGCTCCGGCGATGCGCTGGGCAGTTTTCACGACCCTCTGCAACGCCTTCCAGTCCGAGGCAGAGCAGTTCCCGTACCAGACTGTTATACAGTTGGTCAGGATGCTCTCGATGGTGCAGCGATAGAAGTTCACCAGGATGTCTGAGGACAGGTGGTTCTTCCTCAGAGTCCTCAAGAAGAAGAGGCGCTGGTGAGCCTTCTTGACCAGCTTGGAGCAGTTGGTCGTCCAGGTGAGATCCTCGGAGATGTGGACTCCCAGGAACTTGAAGCTGCTCACACGCTCCACAGCCGTCCCCTTAATGTGGATGGGTGGATGTGGGTCAGCATTCCTCCTGTAGTCCACGATGAGCTCCTTGGTCTTCTCGGTGTTAAGCAGCAAGTTGTTTCTGTCGCACCACTCAGCCAGACGATCCACCTCCTCCCTGTAGGCGGCCTCATCGTTGTCACTGATGAGGCCAATCACCGTGGTGTCATCTGCAAACTTAATGATGGTGTTGGAACCATCAGCAGGTCTGCAGTCGTGGGTGAAGAGGGAGTAGAGGAAAGGGCTCATCACACAGCCTTGTGGTACACCGGTGTTCATTGTGATGGTAGATGAGCAGCGGTTATCCAGCCGGACATGTTGGGGGCGGTTGGTCAGGAAGTCCAGTAACCATTTGCAGATGAGGGAACTGATACCCAGGTCTGTCAGTTTCCTGATGAGTTGTGAGGGGTGGATTGTATTGAATGCTGAACTGAAGTCTATAAACAGCATTCTGGCGTAGGTGTTGTTGTTGTCCAGGTGTGAGAGGACAGAGTGCATTGCGATGGAGACTGCATCCTCTGTGCTCCTGTTCCGGCGGTATGCGAATTGGTGGGGGTCCAGGGTGGGGGGGAGACAGGATTTGAAGTGTGCTAGGACCAGTCGCTCTAAGCACTTAGTGATGATGGGGGTGAGTGCTACTAATCATTGAGGCAAGATGGGTTGGAGTTTTTGGGTATCGGGACGATGGAGGTGGATTTGAAGCAGGCCGGTACCACAGCGTGGGCCAAGGACAGATTGAATATGTCTGTGAGCACTCCTGCAAGCTCCCCAGAACACGCTCTGAGAACACGCCCGGGGATGCCATCAGGGCCTGCAGCCTTGTGGACATTGATCCTGCTCAGCACCGCTCCTACATCGGTGGGGGAGAGAGTCATAGGTTGGTGGTCTGGCATCATGTCTGCTTTGGTTGTGGTTGTGGGGTTCCCTCGCTCAAAACGAGCATAAAAGTTGTTGAGCTCGTTGAGGAAGGAGACATCAGAGGATGCAGGGGAGGGTTTGGTGGTCCTGTAGTCTGTGATGGTCTGGAGTCCTTGCCACATGCGTCGGGGGTTGGAGTTGGAGAAGTGTTCTTCTACCTTCTTTTTGTAATGGTGTTTGGCTTTTTTGATGCCCTTCTTTAGATTAGCCCTGGCTGTACTGTAGGCGTGTGCATCTCCTGACCTAAAGGCAGTGTTGCCTTTAGGTCCTCTTCAGGAGGAGACGAACATCCCGGTTCATCCAAGGCTTCTGGTTGGGGTACATGGTGATCCGTTTCTGGGTGGTGACACTGTCTGTGGTTTTGGAGATGTAATCCAGTACAGATGAGGCGTACTGGTCCAGGTCTGTGTGGGTGAACATATTCCAGTGTTTTTAAATCTGTCCTGGAGCACTGCGTCTGTCCCTCTGGCCACACTTTAATTGTCCTCACAGCAGGTTTCACACGTTGGATGAGTGGTGAATACCGAGGTGTGAGGAACAGGGAGAGATGGTCCGATTGTCCAATGTGGGGGAGGGGTGTGGCTTTGTAGGCTCCAGCCAGGTTGGAATACACATGGTCTAAAGTCTTGTCTCCTCTGGTGTGGCAGGAGACATGTTGGTGGAATCTGGGGAGGACTGTCTTTAAGTTGGTGTGGTTGAAGTCGCCAGCAACAATAAAAGCAGCCTCGGGTGTTTATTCTGGTGTTTGTTAATGGCTGCAGAAAGTTCTTTCATGGCCAACCTAGCATTAGCGTCGGGGGGTATATACACGGCAGTGAGTATGATCGAAGTGAATTCTCTGGGGAGATAATAAGGTCTGCATTTGACCATTAAAAACTCCGCATTAGGTGAGCAGTGACTCTCAGTAGTAGTGGAGTTCATGCACCAAGCATTGTTAATATAAATGCACAAACCTCCACCTCTGGTCTTGCCGGAGTCATCTGCTAGCCTGTCGGCTCGGTGTGTGTGGCGTCCTGCTAACTCGATAGCATTGTCCGGGCAGCTGTTGTTCAGCCATGTTTCGGTGAAAAACATGACATTTGAGTCCATAATCCGTCTGTTGTTAGTGATGGAGAGCCGTATCTCATCCATTTTGTTTGCCAGAGAACGGACATTGGCGAGAAAAATATTGGGTAAAGGCAGCTGGTGTGGTGTTAGCTTTAGCTTAGCCTGTAGCCCTCCGCGCCTACCTCGCCTTTGTTTACGATCTCGGCGCCGTCTGCGTGCACTTCCGCCCAGCCGGGGAGAGTGGGCAGCCTCCGGTGTTCTGGAGATCTCTGGGATGAGTCGGAGATCGGCGATAAAACTGTTGGAGTTGTGAGTCCAGATGTCCAGAAGCTCTTGTCTGCTGTAGGTCAGCAACGCACAGCAATTCTGGACGAATAATCCGGTTAAAAGTAGATAAAAAACCGCTAAATAGCAGATTCTGGAGAGACACTGAGCCTCGCGTTGTTCACGCGCCGCCATCTTGGATCTGAAAAAAAAAATAAAGCATGGACCCGATGAGAATCTGCGAGATGTTGGGTTTCTCGCTTAATGGCACGTACCTGGACGCGCCGTTGGGGCTGAAAGCTCACTGATTCCGAAGCTGCAGGTTTTTGTTTCTCTCTAACTCGACCCCAAGACCCAAGCAGCCACAAGAAACAAATCCGTTAGATACAAGGTGATTTATTTACAATGTGAAATAAAGGAACCAAAACGGGAGCGTCAACACTTCAGGGTGAGCCAAGGCCAAAACAATAAACAAAACAAATCTACACAAATCCATCAAAGTCAAAAATAAAGACAGAGTCTGACCTCCTTAACTAACTCAAAACAGGAGAAAACGGGTGATCAAAAGAAACGGCAGCTCACCCCTACCCACTCCACTTCCACAACTTTTAAGTGCACTGCAGCCAGCGGCTGCCACAGAAATACTGCTGGGCCGTGAGGGGAAACGCGAGGACCTCCACCGCTGTAGCACTCCAGCCTCCTTTTAATGGGCGGGTCCTCCAGCTGGAACCAGTCACGTCGGGGCAGTGTATCCACGCACCAATCGGAGCAGGGGCCTGGCACAGCTAAATTAACATAAAAAGACACAACACCTGCACAAAACAAACACATGGACATGCAAGTTCGTAACACTAACCAAAATTAGTTTTTAAAAAAGAACTTACTTCAAGATATTTCTTTAGGTCTGAGGTGGAGTCTTATGATGCTGGCAGCAGCTTGGTTGCTGGCAAACAGGGTGTGCATTTAACAGTCAAATTCCGATCCACTGCAACCCCCTCTGGCTTCTGCTCTGTAGCTGCTGGGTGACCTCTCATTTGGGGCTCTACTCAGCTCTTCCCAGGAGGGTGGCACGGTTTCCCCCCCTTTTGGTGGTCCTCCTCGGGTCCTCGTACTCTGGGGCCTCTGGATGTCTGGGGCCTGGATCTCCTCCATACCTGCTTCATGCCCTGGGGGACGGGGCTATGGCTCCCCACACTCCCTAGCAGATCGTTACATGGGGAAACCTTTGGAATACAAGCATGCTGATCCACACAGGTATGCACACAGGTGTTCACAGACGCAAACTACACCTTTCTTGGCTGCTGCCTCAAAGCACATTGTGCACTGTTTATCTTGCGTGCTGCACAATATCGTTTGATATTTAGTATCTACTGTTATCTACTGCTAGCTAGTTTATTGTGATGGTGTTGTATTTATTATGTTGCTCTGTGTTGTTTGTTTTCTCTTCTGTTTTTTTTCTCCATATAGTTGATCCAGGTGTTTTGTTTGTTTTTCTTTCTTTCTTCCCCCCTTTCTCATCGTCTCTTCTCCCCTCTGTTTTTCTTTCTCTCCCTCTCTTTCTTTCATTCTTTCTCCCTGTCCTATCCCCCAGTCATGTCTGTCCCGTTAAATAAAATAAAATAAATACATAATTATAATAAAGGTCAATCAAATGGACCAATATGGCAAGGCCATGATGATCCACTTGGTAAAATAAATCCGGTTGGCATCTTTCTTGGCCTTAAGACAACAATTCTGATGGCTATAGACCCAAACGGGACACCAAAAAAAAACAAAAAAAACAGTCAAATTCCGTGCATCCCTTCCTTCTTTAAATGTAAGTTTCCAAGTAAGAAATGAATCCCTGCATGTGCACTGCTGGTTCTGTTGTGCTGGCTCCATCGTTTAACTGACCATCATTAACAGAATGCTGGAGCCCCTTATTGTGTGTTTTGTTTGGGTGTTGCAATGCGTTTAATTACACATTTAGAACGGGGGCAGAGAGGGGATAGCCTAACATATCAGAATCAGAATCAGAATACTTTATTCATCCCGAAGGAAATTAGGGTTACAGCAGGCAGCACGCTAATGGCGCATGCGCACTCACAAAGGAACCTTCTGACCGGTATGAAACCAGAAAAGGCGCCATGTAATCCATTTATTTCAACAAAGTATCTATGTTTGGTCACTGTAACTAAATAAAGCTACTCATATTTTGTATTTTAAATGTGTTTGTTTGTAGCATACTGGCATATACATGGTGGAAGTGGAAGAGATGTTTTTTAACATGAAAAACACAAATTTCCGTAATGTCTAAATTTCAAGAGTTAATGTTTTTAAAATGTGGAATGTTAATCCTTTGCATATTTATGTTTTTTTGCTATGACTTAAATATGCTTGATAAATTAGTACCTTGTTACAATCCATATTGCAGTTCATCATGAAATGTAATGAAGCTTTGTAACTTTAAAAGAAAACTTGAAGCCACAGAGTTGTGTTTACTTCCCTGGTTTGTGGGGGGGAAGTGATTAAATGATGGCTCAATTTTATCCTTATATTTATTCTTGGCTTATCAAGTATAAGCTTAATATAAATAATTAAAGTAAAGCACAAAAGAGCTGAGCATCACCTCTCAGCATCTTAATCATATCCTCTTCACACTTCTCAAGGCACACAGTCTGACCTAAAAACAATTGGTTATTTTTCTTTGACTTTAGTGAACAGTTTCTGCTGACAAGCCACAACTTATTCAGTCTGTGCACTAGACCACACTGCACACAGAGTCATGCCCAGTAAACTTGTAGGTATAGGTGTATTTCACTGCTCTGTTTTAGAAAATAAAGAAATGCGACACATTTACATTAGTGGTTGACCACAGTGAGTGCCTGCTGTTGAAAAGAAATGAGCTGCATCCGCTTTTTTCTTTTGAGAAGCATTCATGCACAAGCAAAAAGAGCAGAAGCAACAACAGGCTTAATTTTAACTTCTACATAAGAAACAGAAGTGTTCGTCAGCATGCGAACTTTGTGAGTACTTATGATCAGCCCCATCTGGCAGCCAGCTATTTCTGAATATACACAAGACATGACATTTTACACACTGACATTCACACCAAGCCCAGCAGATGATGTACAGCTTGTTCAATTGCGATAAATGTCTTCACTTTCACTCAGATGTGATTTTGTCTTTGTCTTTTTTTGAGACCTTTCAAATATACAAGAAGTACAGAACAAAAAATGTGCTTATTTTTTTTAAAGCATAGAAAAATGCTATTGTTTATATTACAGTTCTTCTCGATTACTTAAACACCCAAAACAGTAAAAACAAATACATTTAATATTTACGACCCATCACATATTACATTTTATCTGAATGCAACACATAAGGAATCATAGTAAAAGGCCCTAGAACATAACATGTCGTCATCTAGTGATGAGATACAGCCATAATCAAATCAAATCAAATCAAATCAAAATTTATTTATATAGCACATATTAAAAACAACAGTGTTGACCATAGTGCTTCACAGTCAATAAAAACATGAGACAGTTAAAACAAGCAATAAAAGAGGACAACAACAATAGATAACAACGCAACAAGCTAAAACAGCCAACTAGACAGAATCAAAAGCCAAAGTAAAAAAATAAGTTTTAAGACGTAATTTAAAAGACTGGATAGACTCGGCAGTGCGAATATGAACGGGGAGGTTATTCCAGAGTCTGGGTGCCACGGATGCAAAGGCCCGGTCGCCTCTCGACTTCATTCGAGTCCTAGGTTGTGCTAGGAGCCTGTGGTTTGATGATCTAAGTGCTCTGTTGGGATTGTATGAATGGAGTAAATCAGAAAGATAACTGGGCGCTAAATTATTCAAAATATTAAAAGTGAACAGAAGAATTTTAAAATCTATACGATATTTAACAGGGAGCCAATGTAATTTGGCTAAGATTGGAGTTATGTGTTCATGAATTCTCGTACCTGTTAAAAGACGCGCAGCTGCATTTTGAATTAACTGGAGTCGGCAAAGAGAGGAGTGTTGAAGGCCCGAGTAGAGGGAGTTACAGTAGTCCAATCTGGATGTAATAAATGCATGGATAAGCTTTTCAAGGTCCTTTAAAGGAAGGAACGGCTTTGCTTTGGAAATCTGACGCAACTGGTAAAAGCTGTTTTTTTACCACAGTGGACACCTGTTTCTCGAGTTTAAAAGAGCCATCCAGGAACACTCCGAGGTTTCTTACAGTGGACGAAAGATGGCTAGCGAGAGGGCCTAGGGCATCAGCTAACTGGTCTAGTGGAGTGTGGCTACCAAAGAATATGATTTCGGTCTTATTCTCGTTCAATGTAAGGAAATTATATGATAACCAAATTTTAACTTCATGCAAACAGTTGAACAGAGGTTGCAAAGAAGCAGTCACATCGGATTTCAAAGGTAAATAAATCTGGATATCATCAGCATAACAGTGAAAGGAGATGTTGTATTTACTAAAAATTAATCCCAAGGGCAACATGTACAAAGAGAAAAGAGCAACAACAATAATGAGAGGGCAGACAACGGCAGTAACATCAGTGATGATAAAGACTATTTGCTATTCACTGTATTCATTAGGTCTAATTTGAAATCTTGGTAAAGTCTGACAATCGGAAGAAAACAATGTCACTCTTACATCAGAATATTTTTTTTCTGCAGTTTGATCTTAATGACATAAATATTAGCTGCTGCAAACAGCTTCTTGATTTTTATCCTACATTTCATTGACATAGCTAGTTAAGTTTTAGCGTTGCTTTCCTAGCATAAAAGATATGAGGAATAAAAAAAAATTATACTTCACAAATATATGTATTTTTCTCAAAACTGAGATATGTAAAAGGTTTTTGGCTATTTCTCTTTTGAGCCTCTGCACTTTGCAGTAATTGATCACAAAACATGACAAAGCTTTGTAACTTTATAAAATGACTTGTAAAGTGACAAAGTTTTTGTGGATTAAAAAACAGAAAAAGGGAAGTCACTCTTTTTAGCCATCTTTTAAGAAGCAGCTCGATAAGGTTTAGTCTGACCATTCTGACATTAGGGAACTGATATATAGCCTATCAAGTATGTTGTCTAAAAACAGTTAGAAATGAGCTGAGCACCACCTCTCAGCATCTAAATCCAATTTAGATGCTGAAATTACAGCGTTACACTTATTCAGCTTCTGAGTTCTGCTTTCACAAAGTCTCACAAAAGACATGTAAAATAAGACAAAATCAGCTTATTTTGGGTGACTCAACTGAACAGCTACTGTGTCAGCATGAGATAAGCCACAACTTATTCATCTATATAACTTTTTACGTGTAGACATTCTGAGGATAAAACTGTGCAGTTATATTTCACTGCTTGCCACAAATTTGGTTCATCTGTTTTGAAAAACAAAGTGACACATTTACATTAGTGGTGAAAAGAAATGAGCTGCAGCAGCTTTTTTCTTTTGAGAAGCATTCATGCACAAGCAAAAAGAGCAGAAGCAACAAGTGCTTTAAATTCAACTTCTACATAACAGACAGAAGCATTTGTTAGCATGTGAACTTTATGAGTACTTATGATCAGCCACATCTGGCAGCCAGTTGTTTTTGAATATACACAAGACATGACATTTTACACAATGACATTCACATCAAACCCAGCAGATGATGTACAGCTTGTACAATTGCAAAAAAAAAATGTGATAAATGTGGATTACTTCATTGACTTCACTTTCACTCAGATGTGATTTTGTCTTCAGTCAGCTCTCTTTCTGCGACCTGTCAGATGTACAAGAAGTAAAGAACTAAAACAGTATTTTTTAAAGGGGGATTCATATTTCACACCAACATTAACTTCACAGGACATCAGCAAAACAACCATGAACCATTAGTTATCTTAATATTATAGTTTGTATTTAATATTTACCACCACAGATTAAATATTATTTGAATGCAATACATAAAGAATCATTAATCAAAGTTGCTCTCACCCTTGAGTTTAGTCTCATCCGGCCGTACGGTGGTGTAAATGGCTCTAGAAGATAACATGTCATCATCTAACGGAGAGATACAGCCAGAGTGAGAGGACTGACAGCCACAGTAACATCAGTGATGATAAACACTATTTTCTATTCACTGAATTCATTATATCTAATTTAAAATCTTAGGAAAGTCTGACAATCAGTGGAAAAAAAATGTCACTCTTACATTAGCCCATTATTTTTCTGCAGTTTCATCTTAATGACATAAACATCAGCTGCTCTAAACAGCTTTTTGATTTACACCTAATAGCTTGGTAGCATAGCTAGTTAAACTTTAGCATGGTTTTCCTTTTCCTAATATAGCTTTTATTTAATATTTAAAACCCATCATATTTAAATACAGCACAGTCTCATTCAGGCTTAGGGTGTAGTAAATGACGACAGAAGACAATATGAGCAGGCGTGAGAGGACAGTTATCCACAGTAACATTAGTTACAATGAATAGTATTTGCTATTCACTTTATTCTGGTAGTTTTATTTTGATGACAAGCTGTTCTGATGAACTTCTTGATTTTTAAAATACAGTGGTACCTCGAGTTACATTCCAAAAATAACCCGAGACAGGTATAATCCTCGTTATAGCGAGGGACCACTGTAAAACAGAACAGCTTTATTGCCATTGTAAATCAGAAGTCTCGAAGTCCTCGAGGGCCGGTGTCCTGAAACTTTTCCATGTGTTGCTGTTGCAACACACCTGAATAAAATTAGTAGGTTATTAGCAAACATATAGAACTTGATTGCATGCTGAAGTGGTAACCACTAACCCTATTCTAGTAAATTTAATTAAATGTAAGTGTTTGGAAAAATGTACATACTTTTTTACATACTTTTAAATTTAAGTACTTTAATTGCACCGTGTTCATTCACTCATGAGCTGCTATACAATTAATCCAATGGCTACCTCAGCATACGGACAAGTTCTATAGAACTTGGGACACATGGGAAAGTTTCAGTTGCAGCCCTGAAGTACTGGATTTCGAGACAAAAGAACCATTGAATTAAAAGTGTCAACACACTAGGTTAAAAAACGTCATTTGTTTCACATTAGTTACATGCGATTAATATTCCCAAAAAAGATTATTATGCATGATATATTTTGACATCTGCATGTTGACTAATAACAACTAGAGATGGACCGATCCGATATTATGTATCGGTACCAGTCTGATACTGATTTTAATTACTGGATCGGAGCGAAATAGAAAATATAATCCGATTCATTAAATATCAAAAAAGCATCTCACAATACTTGCTACACGGCATAACTGGCTCATAACCGTAGCACATCGGAGCAGCATGCGTCACGTGATAGAGCAGCTGTGGCATGCAAGACGGTCGGGTCTGGTTGAGCATTTGGAGCCTGGCTACCAACCCGGCATTTCATCTCCGAGAAAGTTATCCCAGAAAGAAGTAAAGCAAGTGAGTAAGTTCATCTCTGAATGTTTGTAAAGCATTCCCGCGTTAAGCTTAACAACCGATATATGGAGCGACTCCCTCTCCTGCTGCTACTTCAATCATGAAACTGATCAATGATCAGCTGATCGTCTCTCTTGTTTGGTTTTGGCCCACTTTGCACCAGAAAGAGGAAACCAGCGGCTGAAAAACAGCAGCACGTTTAAGCTTGATAAGCTTTTGTTAGAATTTATTTAATATTACTTTCTACACCAGGATCTTTTTCTACGCAGCTGACGGCTGGTAACTGTGCAGGGGCGGATCTAGCAAAGTTTAGCCAGGGGGGCCGATAGGGTATGAACAGGGAAAAGGGGGCACAAAGACATACTTTTCTTTCTTATTCTCATTTAAAATGTCTACCTTTGAATAAATAATTATCTGAATCTTACAACCAAAATTTTAATCTGATGTAAAATGTATAGAAGTCAATTACTGTATATAGTAACTATTAAGTCTAATATATATACCCTAGTAAGCTATAGTACTTTTTCCTTTGGGAAGGTACCATCTGTGCAGTCTGCAATTCTGTTGAAGAAAGATGTTAAATCTATTTAATTATTCTTGAAAACAAATGTATCTCTGTGCATTTTTTTTCCACACTGCATCGAATTAAAGTTGAATACATTGATTTAGCATCATGAGGTGGAGGGTGGTTCCCCTTTTTTATATGCTGGGAGTTTGCAACCCTGTTAGTTAGGTTGCTTAATATTTCCGCTAAGTACTCTTTAAAATACCAGAATATGGAGGATGGAGTAGGTTTAAGTTTATTAGATTGATCAGTATTGCTGAACTATGAAATATTTGGGTCCAGTGTATTTTTTGCATGCAGGTATAACAGAATAGCTTTAGTGTTTGTTTTAAACTTGAGTATGAACGTATACAATATGCAGCAAGATATTAAAAAAACTGTTTTATTGATTAAAAAACACACTATATCGGATTCATATCGGTATCGGCAGATATCCAAATTTATGATATCGGTATCAGACATAAAAAGTGGTATCGTGCCATCTCTAATGACAACTAGTGCTAATTTAATTGACCAGTCTTGCTTGCATAGTAAGGTTAGACTCAGAAACAATACAGCAGAGTGGGAGGTAGATCTAGCTCTCATGCTCCCTGTTTCTCATGAAAATGTGACAAAATATTAAGAGCAGATATCACTGAAAAAAGCTGGCGAGGGACTAAAATCACAGACCAAACAATAACATAACAAGAAATATCCTAGTGTATATAATCTACTAAAGGACTGTGTTTCTACTTTGGATTTCTGTCATGCTATAGATTTAAAGTTCATGTTTTTTATTCCTAAACAAATGTTGGCTTTCTTGACCTGTTTGTGCAGAAGAGGGAGACTGGAAGGAGGCAGTAGAATTTTTGGCACCTGCTTATGAAAAAGACAAAATAAACAGGAAAAAAAGTTATTTGATGACAGCCACCAGGAATCATTGAGCATGCTTATTGTTATAAAATAAAAGTTCATGTTTTGATGAGCCAACTGTCAGCATACTTGTTTTCAAAGAAGTTTCTTCTGAGTGACTTCTGATGGTTTGTTGATGTTTATTACATTGAAACAGTCCTGCCAGTATGAGCAGAATGACCACCAATAAAACACCCAAACCAATGCAGAGCCCCAGGTAGCTCTTTACAGAATGCACTGTAGGATGACCTGCAAGAAAGATAATTGCACTGTGTATTAGAAATGATTAAAATGATGTTGTAATTTACTCTAAATATTTTTATATTTATTTCATGTAAACACTCAGATAAATCCCATTCAATACAATTATGTACACCCAATGTTTAAAAAAAGGTGTTGTTGAAAAAACGGCCACATTTGGACTACACATAGCCTGTGCACAGAAGTCTGATGGACGTCAACACCAGACGTTCAGTAGAGATTGAATAAAAAGTCCTTGCCTTATGTTACAAAACAACCTCTTCAGTGGACCAAAACTGAACGTCCAAAAAATGAAAAATAGATCATCACTCTGACATCGCTTTGCACAATGGCTATGTTCATCATAGACCATATACCGTTTCCCACTTACACACTTGTTAATGAAATGTTAAAATGTATTTAGTTAGAAAATATTGATGCATCTTACTTCCAACAGTTAGCCAGCTCTCTGGTGATTCTCCACCATCACCAATACTACATTTGTAGAGTCCTTCATCAGATTTGGATACATTGGGAATCATTATGTTTCCTGATGAGCTGCTCCCAGTGGAGACGCCATTTTTATAGAATTCTGCGGTGTAGCTGGAGTTTGCATCCTTTTTTCTACAATGCAAGGTCATATTTTCTCCCTGCATCACAGGTTGGACAGGAATCTCCAGGATCACATGACTCTCTAAATCTAGATGGCAGAAGATATGACAGTTACCCACATGGAACAGGTATATCTAAATCTTATAAAGTTTTTATCTATCTTGTGTGAAACATGTATGAAAAGCATATACGAGTGAAAACAGATATAAGATCCCTTGAAAATTTATATAAAAGTTTTGACTAAAACAATATGTGAAAGGAATGAGAAAGTGGACACCTTCATGAGTAAATCATATGCCAAATCTGATGCAAGTCTTTTATACCTTTTTTCTATTTCTTTTCAATATGGGTAACTTGTGTAAAATGTGATTTTTGTTAAAATTATACAAACATAGAAATCATTAATTATGACAGATGATAGCTCACAAGGTTTGCTCAAGTTGCAGTAAATATATGTTATTAAGTTATTATATTTAGCATATATGTTATTTTATTATTATCGTGATGCATTTTATCAAGAAAAAACATACCTTACAGCCAATGAAAACTACAGTACCAAATATGACACTATGCATTGCTGTAAGTGATGTACTAAACAGAAAAAATGGTGAATGGACTAAATATGTTAACGCATAATGTTTTTTTTCTATGTACATACCAGTTACAGTGATGTTGACAGAGTTGCTTTGTTGTATTTCTCCATGTTCACACCAGTATTCTCCACTGTCAGATGATGGATATGCATTAATAATATTGCAAGGTCCAATCGATGTTTCCCAGGTTGAAGCACATCGTCTAACACCTCCATTTATCTTTTTCATCACTCTCCATCTAGTCAGCCCATTTTGCCCTTCACAGCTGATATTGACAGCCTCTGATTGAAAGAACTGCTGCCTGTTTGGAACAACTTGAGGAAAACCTGAATCTGAGACAGAAAGTCAAATAAGTTTTCAAAGCATGTAAGCTTTCAAATTATAAAGATTTATACAAGCATATTTACTGTAATAGTGAATATACATATGCATGTGGTTATTTGAGAAGTGTTTTACAGGTTTATGTTGTACCTAAACCTCTAAAACTGGAGAATAACAACTGCAGAAGTTTCAGAAACTCTGTATTGTTAAGAAATATATTAAAACTATTACACACACTATTATACACACACTTAAAAATACAAGCCCCCCCCCCCCCCCCCCCCCCCCAATATTTAAAAACTTACTATGTGTTTGAGAATCACTGAGTTCAGCTACTGTAACCAACAGCAACAGAACATTCAGCACTGAAAAGATTGAGAATGACAGTTTTAATATTTAACATGTTTTAATGTTTTTGCAGTAATAAGTCCTTTGCATTTGTTAGTGAGTTACAAATATCCAAAATGAATACATGCAAATATATGGGTGCATTTTGTACATATTAATTTCCCTTGCGTACATTTCCTCTGTTACAGACTTAATATCTTTTTATAAAAAGACAAGGTCAGTACTCACAGAGTCTGATGGTGGCAAATCTGACCTCCATGTCATCTTACTGCTGACTGCGTGAGTGTTAGACTGAACTGAAGATATATTTTTTGTAAGAACCTCCTCTTCCTGTGTTTCTGTGGTGACTGAGGCCCAACAGGGTTCGACTTCAGTCACTATGATTTCTTTTATGCCCTTTTTAATTAAATTGAATGTTTTATTAATTCTAAACTAGATACATACATACATACATATATGTATTGAGATATATATATATATATATATATATATATATATATATATATATATGTATAAGATAATGATAGGGAAGGCTTAGCCTCTCAGGCCACTTATACCAACCGTCCCTGGCATGTAAGCTCATTTGGCCATCTGCTCTTTTTTGTACGGAGGAAATGATTGTTTAAAATGTCATTCGGTTTCTTAAATCAAGTTTTATTGTTTCTTTTCGAGCTGCTAAACCTAAACTAAATCTTGTTTACACTGTCTTTTTTTATACCACTACATGCCAATAGTTCGCAAAACTGCAAGGATGGATAAGTTGTCACGGCCCATGGCTCAGCATCCAGGAGCCGTGGGAGGCTGCGGTGGCCACACCCTCGGGCTGGGCCGCCTCCAAACCACCTGCGTCCCATCTGAGGCAATCACCGGAGGAGTACTTCAGCCAACTCTGACGGCTTCTCTTCGCCAGTCCGTAAGTTTCCTCCCAGTGTGACCAGCGTTCGGCATGGAAGCCTGTGACCTGCCTGTCCTCCTGCCTGCCTCCCTGCCTGCCTCCCTCCCTGCGATTCCCTTCACGGGCACCTCTCCCCTCCAATCTCCACAGTCCTGCTCTACCTGTAAGCCTCGGCGATTTATGAAGTCTAGCTGTTTCTCTCCTGGCAACCTGCGTGCTGTTAACTGTGTCTCACCTTTTATTGCAGTTTCCCCAGGATCCCGATTATGGCGCTCCAAGGATCCACGCTCCTCGTTCCCCCTTTGTTATAGGAAAAAAAGAAGAACAACATATTGCTTTCTTTACCTGCACACCTTTGTGGTCTTGCTACCTAATTCCGCTGTGCAAGGAACTGTACAATGACAATAAAAAAGGTTCATGGTAATTCTGGAGAATAGGAGTAGATGTTAAGTTTGTTTAATTTGAGCAATGGCTCTTAAAATAAAATTTCTTAAAATACAGATCTCTCAAGGCTCTGCACATCTGCACATGACATGCCTTCACCAAAGGCCGTTTTCGTTTACAACATTATATTTGCAGTGTTCGTCTATCTATCAATATCTGCGGAGTATTTTTTTAACGAGTATCCTATTTTCTAAAGCACAGCATGTAAAGGGTAACTCGGTTAGCAGGATGCTAGCATGTAGCGCTTAGTGAGACACGCCTCAGACGAGTTGAGCAAAGACACCGTCTGTGTACTTTATACGTGAGCAACAGATTTTAATAACATTAACGTTAATACTGTCTTTCGGGTTCACATAGTTGTGTGATATTTGGCTTAAAGTTTCATAAAACAGTTTATTCTGTCCCCTGCGTGCGTGGTTCTGGTACACGAAGTGACAGATAGCTAAACATATGCAGGCACTGAAAGTGTTGAATGATGAGTCAGACGTGAAATAAAGTTGAGGGCTGTTTACTTGTTTGTCTTCACCAATGTATATCTTACAGTGCTTTCCCAGAACTTGTGAAACTACAAAAAAGAAATATGCTCAACAAAAATAAAGAATTATGCATTTGCATAATGTACATATAGGCATGTATATACAAATACTTTTGATTTTACCTCTATATTTCACCTTTAAAATATGTTTTTCTTGCCTTGTTTGATATCATTATTTTCAGCACAACCTCAAATATCTGAAATTTGAGTTATTTTTTCATTTTAGTATACTATATTAGCACAGTTGACCTAAATTCAGACAAAGAATTCAAAATCCGAGTAGAAAACAGTTATATTTCTTACTGTAAAACCCACAAACATGTTTAATGAATCATTTTCACAACTTGAAATGCAAATAGAAATTGTACATTTCTAAAAATTATGCACAAGTTTTGCAAACAACAAAGTTATATGGTACTATTTACCTGGAAATGCAGCCAAGGCCTCAGGCCTTTATATAGCCATTTAAATCTATTTACAGAACAATCAGGTGTTTCAAAAGACAAACTTGAAGATACATAACCATATACTTACCGGAGAATCGCCAGGGTTTGCCGCTTCCATCTTGCTGCATCAAATAAGAAGGCACACAAATTATTTGTGCCAGTCCAAAAATGTAGTTTGTCTTCAGTATAAGACAGAGGAGAACACCACAGGCCTAAACCCTGCAGGTCTGACAGCAGGAGGTGCATCAGTCCAGTTTTCCATGTGGGAACAGCGTTTACACTGGAATCTGCCTTTGACGGCTTTTTTTGGAGAAAATGTGAAATTCAGCAGTATAACTGACACACAATACAAAACAATAATTGCACAACACACTAACTATAGCCTCCAAACACGCTAAACGTCACTAATGTCTCACATATGAAAACTCGCTCTCTCTCTGTGTTTCGCTGGCCTGCTTTCCTTTGCGGGTGTCACTCCTAAAAACTTCCCCCTCTCCCTAAACAACCAAATGTCACATGTTGC